CACACGCACACACACACACACACACCTCCACTAGACCGATTAGATCCCACAGATTAGGCCTCCTCCGAATTCCATCCGCCGGCCAATGCCGGCTGGCGACCACCTGGAGGAGACCCTTCTCTGTGGCTGCTCCGACCCTCTGGAACGAGCTCCCCGTGGAGATTCGAACCCTCACCACCCTCCAGGCCTTCTGCAAAGCCCTTAAAACCTGGCTGTTCCGACAGGCCTGGGGCTAAAGAGTTTTGCCCCCCTTCTCGAATGGTATGGTTGTTGTGTGTTTTTAAATTTTTGTATTGTTGTCTTGTCTTTTTTATCCCTTATCTGTACCCCCTGACTGAATTGTGAGCCGCCCTGAGTCCCCTTCGGGGAAAAGGGCGGCATATAAATGTAATCAATCAATCAATCAGTCTTTGGGGCCAGTCGCTCTCTCCCCCTCCCTCTTGGCCTAACCCACCTCACAGGGTTGTTGCTGCAGTGAAAACAGGAGGAAGGAGTTATTAGGTATGTTCGCCCCCCCCACTCCACCCAGAGTTATTTATAAACCATACAATAAAAGCAGGATAGAAATCAAATCAATAAATCAAAGAGAGGACTGAAGAATGGCAAGCGAGGTGGCTGAGTAGCAGCGCTATTGTTATCCGCTTGATTTAGAATAGAATAGAACAGAATCACAGAGTTGGAAGGGACCTTGGAGGAAATCAAGGAGAGAAGGAACCTGGAACTAAGGAGAAACTTCCTAGCAGTGAGGACAATTAACCAGTGGAACTGCTTGCCACCAGAAGCTGTGGGTGTTCCATCACTGGAGGTTTTCAAGAAGAGACTGGAGAACCATTTGTCTGGAATGGCATATGGGGTTCTCCTGCTTGGACTAGAAGACCTCCAAGGTCCTCCAGGATTGGGCGGCCTATAAATCGATTTAGTAAAATAATAAATAAAATAAAAATAAGGTCCCTTCCAGCTCTTTCCTGGTTAAATGATTGATTCAGACGGTGCATCCATGCTAGCAGTAGTCCAGTATTTGAGAGGCTGCCACAAAGAGGAGGCGTTTCAATTTGTTTTCCAAAGCACCAGAGAAACAATGGATGGAAACTAAACAACCTGGAATTGAGGAGAAACTTCCTAACTGTGAGGACAATTAAAACAGCCTGCAGAAGTTGTAGTTGCTTCATCCCTGGAAGTTTTTAAGAAGAGTCTGGACAGTGATTTGTCTGTAACGGTATAGGGGTCTCCTGCTAGAATAGGGGGCTGGACTAGAAGACCTCCAAGGCTTCCGGGTCTATTCTATTCCCCTTCCCTATAAACTAGGGATGTCCAACCTTTAAGACCTGTGGACTTCAACCCCCAGAATTCTCCAGCCAGGTTAGGGAATTCTGGGAGTTGAAGTCCACAAGTCTTAAAGTTGCCAAGGTTGGAGACCCCCTGATCTGGACCAACATTTTTGCCAGCTCTCTGTGTAGCTGGCTCAGGAATTCTGGGAGTTGGAAGTTCCAGGATTTTATGCCAAAAGTGAGTGGTGGTGTTTTATTTTGTTTTGTTTTTGGGGGAAAAATACATTCTTCCAACAGCATCCAATACAACTGAGGCAGCTTTCAGGATAGGAAATGAAACATCTCGTTTGTCTTCAAAAAAGTCAGTCTAGTTGCTTTGTTCAAAAAAAATTTTTTTAAAAACTTTTGCTACAACTATGACTTGAGGATCTTCAAAAGACATTCTCCTAGAATTTCACAGCTCAGTAAAGTTGCCATAGTGCCCCCAACTTTGCAGCAAACAATATCTGTGTGTGATTTATTCATTAACCTTATTCATTCATGAGAGAAGTGTGTGTGTGTGTGTGTATGGGGTTCCTTTAAAAAAAAAATCTACAGCTGTTTTGTTGGTTTGTGTATATTAACAACAGAGCCACATAAGGAAACTGTCCTTCAGGGGTGTTAGATTATCACAAAGTCCGCGACAATGTGGACAATTAAAGATATAGGTGTAATAAAAAGCAAACAAACTTGAACCGGAAAACAGGATGCATTGAATAAACTCTGAGGTTGTAAATGTGGATTCAACACTCTGGAGAAGTGCAGGGCCAGTGGTTTTTTTTTCAAGAGGCAACTGGACTTTCTGGTTTTTTCTTTGAAGAAGTTTCGCTTCTCAACCAAGAAGCTTCTTCAGCTCTGACTGGAGGGTGAGGAATGGAAGGATTTATATTCCTTGCAGGCAGCTGGACATTTGCCTCCTTTTAGAGGGTCGTTGAGGCCACTTGGAGGTTTTATCTGTGTCCTCATGGTCACCTGAGTGGTGCAAATGGGCGTGGGCCTTCTTGGCTGCAGGATGCTTTCTGCCCTGTGTCCCTCATCCCCACCTGCCACGCACATTTGCACAACTCTGAGCACACAGACAAACCTCCCAAGCAACCAGCCACGCTCAGAGAGCATAAAGGACCTCCAATTTTTTTTCCTCCACCTCCTCTTTCCTTCTTCTCTACTCCGCAAACTCAACCCCGCTTTTTAATACTGATAACGTTCCCTAGTTGGGTCATAAAAACGTCAGCGG